ATACAAAAAATTAGCCAGGCATGGTGGCATGAGCCTGTAGTCCCAGCTACCCAGGAGGCTGAGGTAGGAAGATCACCTGAGCCTGGGAGGTCGAGGCTGCAGTAAGCCATGATCGGACCACTGCACTACAGCCTAGATGACAGAGTGAGACCCTGTCTCAAATAAATAAATAATAAAATAAAATAAAATTAGCTTCATTGAGGTGTAATCCCCATAAAATCCCCATAAAAATAATAAACCAATTTTATCAAGCCTGCAATCCCAGCACTTTGGGAGGCTGAGACAGGCAGATCACGAGGTCAGGAGATCGAGACCATCCTGGCTAACACGGTGAAACCCCGTCTCTACTAAAAAATACAAAAAACTAGCCAGGCAAGGTGGCGGGCATCTGTGGTCCCAGCTACTCGGGAGGCTGAGGCAGGAGAATGGCGTAAACCCGGGAGGCGGAGCTTGCAGTGAGCTGAGATCCGGCCACTGCACTCCAGCCTGGGCGACAGAGCGAGACTCTGTCTCAAAAAAAAAAAAAAAAAAGAAAAAAAAATAATAATAATAAACCAATTTTAAATCTGGTGAGTACTGATAAATGCATGCAGTCACGTAACCACCATAGGCATCAAGATAAAGAGTGTTCCCATTAGCCTCCAAAAGTCCCCTCCTGTCCCTTGGAGATACTATTTGGAGAGCAGTCAGTAAAAGGCGGTTGTTCAAGCTCTGGGAGTGAATCCCCATGGAGGGGATATGCAGAGTGAGAGCAATGAAGGGAAACAAACCTACAGGAAGGTTAGTTTCTAGCAAAAGAAGGAGAGGCCACAGGGCATTCACAGAGGCAACCAGAAAGTCAGGAAGGAAGACAGAGGTCCCATAAAAGTGGACTGGCCAACAGTGACAAGTGCTTAGAGACAATAATAACTAACATACACTATCTTTTTTTTCTCTAAGTACATTGCATTGGTCAATCAGGCCAGAAGAGCCCTTGGGGTCAGTTGCAATAAAGTGACAAATACGCAGAAGATCCTGTGCAATGGGTGAGGTAACTGAAGGAGAAGAGAAAGAAGACAGGAGTACCAAGAGGATGCTATAGAAAAGACGGGGATTCAACTGCAGCTAGAGGAAAGTGCCATGCGATTGTGGAAAGACAACCCTTAACCTAGAGTTAGGACCTGGACTCTTACCCCTTGCCTACCACTTACTGGCTGTGCAATCTTAGACAATTCTCTATTTACCGGGCCCTGTTTCCTTGTCTGTAAAATAAAGTGGCTGAGTCAGATGGTCTACACTGTTCCTTCCATTTTGATTCTGTGGCACCCTATGCACATCTCGCAACATGGAGATCATGAGGATAATGGTAATGCTGGCAAGAGCAATTTCAAAGGACTGCTGGGGACAGTGTGAATTGAAATGTGAGTAAATAGTTGCTCAGAGAAACTTGACTATGAAGCACACCAGAAAAAGGAGGCAGAAGAACATGTGTTTCCAAAATCTACTGTAGAACTTATGAGACAACATTCTGAGGTCCAGATGGCGCATCCCCTGAGTAGACAATGCCCACGAACTCCAGAAGAATCAACATTTATTCAACATATAGTAAATGTCAATAACTCTGCAAGGTGCTTCATGTGTGGAAAAAGCTAGAGGGCCAGTGTTCTTCTGGTCCCCAATTAATCTTACCATCTCTGGAATCATTTATTGTAGGTAACGTGTAAATTTGTATCACACTCAACCTTTGAGGAGCAAAGAAAAATGAATAGGTTCTCAAAATATTTTATTCAAAACAAAATCTTCATTGCAAATTTAGATTAATAATCTGAGGATTGTGGCACAAAGAAAACATTTTTCAAACTATCTCAAGAACAGAAAACCAAACACTGCACGTCCTCACTCATAGGTGGGAACTGAACAATGAGATCATTTGGACTTGGGAAGGGGAACATCACACACCGGGGCCTATTATGGGGAGGGGGAAGAGGGGAGGGATGGCATTGGGAGTTATACCTGATGTAAAGGACGAGTTGATGGGTGCTGACGAGTTGATGGGTGCAGCACAGCAACATGGCACAAGTATACATATGTGACAAACCTGCACGTTATGCACATGTACCCTAGAACTTAAAGTATTATAATAATAATAATAGTAATAAAAAGAAAACATTTTTCACAAATTCAGAAAGCATTAGGCAAAAGAAACGGGATTCAAACTCAGATCTGTCTTCAATTTCAAATCTCTCCAATACATAATGGCTACCAACTATTATCCTTCTTTTAGTGTTGCATGCCTTGTCTTTCATCCATTTTCTGGATTGCAGGGTTTTATATAGTACTTATCCTTCCCAGATTTATATTTAAGTTTAAATCCCTTTTAATTACATATCCTAGTCTCAATCAAATAATATTCTTTTTAGTCTTTGAAAGATGTATATAAATGTTTACCAATATTCTATGTGATTCTAAGTCATGGTCCAGAAAAATCTAACCTTGTTCTTGACCACACCTGTGTATCCAGGTTTTATTATCTCCTGTGATTTTCTTTTCAGTTCTGGAGTCTCAAGCCTCAGCAAGAAAAAGAGATGAAAATACCACCTATGTTGCTAAGTCCTTCAATTCCTACCCAGGGCATCTAAGTCAATAGACATATATGTCACATTTCTTTTTGTGATAAAATTTATTCCTATATGATATACCGGGCTTTTGAGAAAGACTTATATAATAACATTTCATTTTACCTAATCTGGAAAAAATGCACAAACAACTCAAAATGAGAACTTATAGTAATTTAACTTGGCTAATAAAGAGTGTGAACAAATGAGTATTTATTTTGTATTTTTCTTGCTGACACATTATTTTTAGGCTTCTTTTTGTAGAACTTTTTGTACATTTAGATAATTTTCTATATTAGTCTAAATAATATGGTACATTTTTAATTGTAGAAGGTATCGCATAAAATTTTATAACAAATAGTATGAGTTTAAAAATGGTGATAGTAATGATGATTAAAACGTTGAACAAATAGTGAACTTCTAAGGCACAAAGAAATATTTGAAACTAAATCCTAATATCTCGTCAATTAAGCATATCATTCTAAGCTCTTTTTAATCAGGTTTCATAAGGAGGTACTCGACTGCATAGTCATTTTTGACCCTTAGTCATTAGGTGCTTTAAAAATGCAATTGTAAAACTTAAAGTATTTTTTAAAATACTTGAAGTATTATCTTATGTAAGTGTAGGATAAAGATAGGCTTTCTAAATATCACTAAGATTTTAGGTGTCATTCGAGCCTTAATGATAAATTCTCATCAAGTAACTCTAACCAACTTAATGTGTAAATACTATTTTTATGTCCTCATTTGTTTCTGAAATATTTCCTCTTAGACGCTATTACAATATATACCAATTTATAAATATCAGAAAAAACAAACCATGAACAGATAAGAAGACACAGGCATATGCCCTTTCATAAACAATCTACTAAGAAACAAGAGAGTCTAGCTATGCTGCATTTAAAATGCACAAGCCAACACCACAAACACACACACAGACACACAGACTAATGCAGTCATTTAAAATCACCTTTATACGCTTTGTAAATTAAACATGAATATCAATCTCTTGTAGGCATATGTTAAGCATTACAAAATAAAAACAAAGGAGAAGAGTAATTTTCTGCCTTAATGTTTTAAGAATTCTCATTCACAAACATTTAAAAACATGAGACATTTTGGGGACAACGGAGAAAATTTAAATGTGAACCTCTTACAGACGGTATTATGGGATTACTTAATTTCCTTTTTTAATTTAGTGAATTGCTTTAGCTAATGATGTCATAATTGAACAAAAAAAATACACTTATTCTTAGGAGGTGGCATGATACCTGCAACCTTCTTTCATGTGGCTCAAGTTGATTTTAAAAAGGGGTGCAGAGAGAGAGAAAACGCAACAAAACATTCTTATCTGGAGGATCTGGGATACCCAAACACAGGTACACATACGTGTTCGCTGTGTTGGTCCTTTAACTTTTCTATAGTTTAAAAAATTTCAAAGTAAAAACTTGGAAAACCCTCATTTCATATGCTTTTAACTACTATTTGTTTCAAAAGAAACAATTTGATCCAACCCATGAGCTATGAGCCATAATCAAAGCTACGTTCTTCCAGCTGTCCTCAGCAGTTTGAAAGGATTTCATGTATTTAAATGAGCGAAAAGTGCAGACTTACTTGGGCAGGGGAGAAGGGGAAAAGTGGCTTCAAAGTTTCGGAGTTTGCCTGCCACACAGATGCCACATTTTGTGAGGCCAGGCTCTGTCTCAGTCTTCTCAGCTCTCCCCTGCCAGCTGACTGATGGCTATCTGCAGGGAGCCACAGGGGGGCCTCCACCAGGGTGTGAGTGCAGAGACAAGATAAGGGAAATGCACTAACCCCAAACTGAAGGGAGAAGGATCTCCCTGGGGTTTTCATTTGGATGGATCTCCAGATAGGGGCAGGTAGGGAAGTGGAAAGAGCTATTAGAAACCAGGTGATAAAGCATAAAGAAATATTACAATGAGCCATCCTCTGCTCAGCTTCTAAGAAATGATGACTTATGAAATGATTTCATTGTAAATGAACTTGTTTCTTGTCATCGTGGCAAAGAAAGCAGAAAACTACTCTGAAACTAAGGAGAAAAAAACCCCACAAATATTAATTTTGACACCCAGAGGGTAGATCTCAAACTCAGGCATAGTGTCTTTAAACAGAATAATGGGCATGTGGTGCTTAATAAATGTAGGGTAGGGGCTTTTTAAAAATCCTGTTGTGAGGAAGTATTTTCCTCACTGCCCAGAAGACAAAGAAAAACAGTGAGTGTTGACAACATGGTATTAAAAAGCCACCTCGACCCAATTTGTTATACCCAAATATATATATTCTTTTTAATTTACTCTAAGCCAGCATGTTGGCTCATAGCATCTTACTTTTGTGTCATTATCTCTCTGCCATACACACAAGTCATAGCTGGGGATTTCAACTCACGGTGAAGCTATGCTGAGATTCCAGATCTCAGTAGTGTTGGCATGAGCGCTGGTCTCTTCAGTCATAGAGAAGACAATATCCTAGGGAGACTGGAATTAGTCCTATTTTGCACCATTCAAGCCAAAATGCTGCTTATCAAGAAGCAAGTAATTGCTAGCTAATGGCTATGGGGGAAAAAAACCATTGCATTTCAATCTAAGCATCTTTTGGCCCATGACAATAAATAAAGCTGTGGAGAGTGTAAACATAAAGTAGGGACCATTTCTTGAGGAGGTTAAATAGCAAACATTAAAAAAGACGAGTTACCTCATCCGACTGGGAGGGACTGATTCTGGGCATTGGTGATACTTGGGGCGTTTTCAACTGTGTGCTGTTGCTGTCTGGCACAAGCTCTCGGTGGACGGTTTGGATGTGGTTCTGGAGTTCACTTTCAGACTCAAACTTAACGTTGCAGCTAGAGCAGCGCGTCTTCAGTCCCCCCACCTTGCCTTTCCCCTCGATGGCACTCAGATTCTCATTCTGGCCCAAGCCTGGTCTGTTCGTGCCGGGAGGGACGTTAATGCCTGGGCTGGCGCTCTTACTGAGATTTACGCAGCCAGCACACAGACCATATGGCAGGCCGTTGATGTCAAGTTTCACCAGATCTTGCTTGGAACGGAATTCTTTGAGGCAAGATGCGCACTTGTACAGTTTTTGGACGTGCTGGCCACGCCCTGTGGTCTGAACTGCAGACCCATTCCCTGTCTTTTGCATGTGGAATGTCCCATGGATTTTGAGTTCCAAGGTGGAGGTCACTGTCTGCATGCACACCACGCAGCGAAAGCCCGTCAGGGAATTCCTCAAGTCAGGGTGCATTTGGCAATGCTCTAAAAACTCCTCTTCACTCTGGAGAGGCATCTTGCAAATCCGGCAGTTTCCAGTATCAAGACTCTTACTATGCGTGACTTTGTGTTCAGTAAGAGTTAAAAGGGAGGGAAACCGCTCTCCGCAAATAGGGCACATGTAGTGTTTGACAGGGCCTAGGTGGGTCTGCATATGTTCACGGAGGCCATTTTCGGAGAAGAAGGTTCGAGAGCACACGTTGCACTTGTAATTCCCTTTAATGAGCTCAGCTTTCTTTTTCACGATGGCACTTTCTCCAGGTCTGATGTTGTGGTCTCGGAGCTGGTGATTCTGCAGCAAAGTTTCCATAGTGTAGGCTGCCCCACAAATGTCGCAGCCGTACATAGGCTCAGAGGTGTCGACGTCTTCTTCGCTCCCATCGTGACTGTTGTGGGACTCCTGGCTGTTGGTCAGCAAAGTCTGCAGCTCCACTTCCTCTTTCTGCACTTGCTCAGAAGCTCCATTTGTTCCACAGTTGGGTGTCTTGGTTTCGAACACACAATGTTTTTCTCGCAAGTGTTTTTCTAACAAAATGATCGCATGGAAGGCTTTGCTACAGAACTTGCAGTTGTACTTCTTACTGTGAGTGGTGATGTGGCATTGCAGCTCCACCTCGGTGCCAAAGGACTCACCGCAGAAAATGCACTTATGCACTTTCCCTTGGTTTTCCAGGTGGTTGTGTTTCACATGGAGCTGCAAGTCAGTCTCATTGCGGAAGTCCCAGTTGCAAGATGTGCACCTATAGACTTTCTTTTCGTTACTGTGCTTCACAGCCAAGTGGAGCTGAATGGAGACTTTTGAGTCAAAAACTTCCTGACAGAGGGTGCAGCGAAAGAAGACAAAGGTGTGCATGTCCAGCAGGTGTTTCTGAAGGTCATCCACTGATGTGAATTGCTTGTCACAACTTTCACAGATGTAATACGTTGAGGTGATCATAAAGTGAATGGTAACATGCTTCAGCAAGGATTCTTGGTTGGGGAATTCCTTGTTGCACTGAGGACAGGTCAATTTTGGAAGCACAGTGTCGAGATGAGTTTTTAGGTGAGTCTGAAAGCTGTCTAGGGATGTGTACTTAGCACCACACTGATTACAGATATATTCTCCAGCTGGACGTGCAGGTGCACCTCCTACTGCCTGCATCATCTTAAGAGATGTCTGCTCTATGGCCACAGGAGATAGGGGGCTTAAGGCCCTGGATTTCTTCCCATTGTGGATATAATTCAGGGCCAAGGGAATGTTTTTATGATTCTCTTTGATATGTTTGTTCAGCTTAAGAACGCTGTTGAATATTGGTGAATTAGTACAATAGGAACAAGAATAGACTTCTACTACTGGTTCTTTGGGAGTCCCAAGCACTGGAGACCCAAATCGGGAGCCACTGAGGTCACAATGAACCTGTCTAATATGCTCTTCGAGGGAAGAGTCAGTGAGAAAACCCATATAGCAATGGGGACAAAAGAATGCATTACTATCTTTAGCTGCGGGGTTTGCAAATCCATGAGAACATCGGATGTGTTCCTGAAGAGTGTTGAGGTCGTTGACAACTTCGGAACAGAAGTTACACTGGTAGACAATGGCAGGCATGGCAGAAACAATCAGACCTGGGTCCTGAGCTTCATGCACTTGCTTAAGATGTTCATTTAGGTTATAGAGTGAGGGCAGGACCTCCAAGCAATACTGACAAATATGGGCCTGTTCTGGCTTATCTAAGTGCATAGTTTTCAGGTGAATCTGCAGAACTGCAAGACTTGAAAATAATTGCTTGTTGCAGTAAATACAGCTGTAGGTAACTTTTGCTTGTTTACTCGAGGGACCAGTCATGTCAGGGGTTTGCTGAGCGGCCCTCTTCCTCCCTCGACTCTTTGGGATTGGCGGGGCAGCTTCCACCATGGTTGAGCTGTCCACTGAGAGGTTGGAATCTGGAGTCGTACTGGACACGGAGGTGTAGCCCACCGTGACCAGGGAAGGGCTGTTGCTGTGATTGCACGACTCCGGTTGCTGGTGACTGTCCATGTGGCTGTACAGTTCCTCAACTGTGTGGAAACTCTCAGAACAAATGCTGCATGAGTTCTTCTTCTCCCCGCCATGCACCTGCTCCATGTGGTTCATGAGGGAGGTCTCCTCTACGAAGAGCTCGTGGCAGTAGACGCACTGGAGGGCCGCTCGGTCCTCGTTTGGGGAGCATTCGGGGTGGCACTCTGCAATGTGTTTTTGGAGGTCTTCTGGGAAGTCAAAGCCTTCCTCACACTGACTGCACTTCTGAGTGTCCTTCATCTTCCAGTCCTCCATCCTGGAACCAGACTGGGAGCCGTCCTTGTTCCTCTCGTGAACCTGCATGTGTCCGTGTAAGGAACTAGAGGACAGAAACCCACGGCGACAAATGGCACATTTATATGGCTTGTTGGAAGTGTGAGTCTTTAAGTGGATCTTCAAGTGATCACTTCTGGAAAACGCAGCATCACATTCACTGCAGTGGTACTTCTTGTCCCCGGTGTGGAGTTTTATGTGGCGATCTCGGCTGCGCTTGTGTTTGAACAGCCTACTGCAGTAGGTGCATTTGAAAGGCAGTTTGTCGCTGTGACTCTGCTCATGGTGCTTTAGGTAGCTGAGGCGGCTAAACGACTTGTCACAGAATTGACATGGGTATGGAAGCCCAGGGCCACCTTCTTCCTCTCCAAAATCGCAACCTTCTCCATGGCTAGGGGAAGTCTGATCCTTGCTGGAAGGTGAGGAAGCTGGCCAAGAGCAAGTCGGATCATCTTCAACATCCACTCCATCTGCAACAAGAAGCAATCACACATTTCATCTGACATGTTGAGATTCAAGAGTGAGTTTACTGTACCATTTCAACCAGCACACAGAGTTGGACCCTCTTGAACCTTTCAAGAAAAAAAAGAAATGAAAGAGAGAATATTTGAGCGAGACATTTTCAAAACTGAGCCCAAAGCAGTTATTCTGCATTTACTTTTTGTTGAGTTGTAAAATATAAGAGGATATTAAATAGTTCTATGTCTAAATTACCCTTTTATTACTTTTTATCATTCTTCCTTAGAAGCAAGGTATATATTACACATTGACAATTTTATTAAAATGCAGATTTTAATATATTTAATGTTTCTTTTGTATTCATTCTAAAATGATTTGCATATTATGTGAGCATCTGAAGAACCAAATGAAAAGAGGAAATATTACAGGAATGATTTAAAATTAATGCAGTCAACCCAGATGTCTAATATTTAATAAAAAATTCCCTCTGCATTTTGCTTGTTTTTATATAAAAAGGCAATTCTGAAGACCCAAATCTTTTATGGGGTTCTTATTGATACAGACCTTATTGCTTTCAGCAAAAAAATATTAAAAAGTAAGCACAGGAAAGAAGACAGAAAACACAATAATAATTATGTCTTGTGTAATGAAAGACAACCAGGATTTCTTCAATCACTGAAATTCGAATACCACAGGCCAGAAAATGGATTATTAAATGTTAGAAGGGTACTGCTAGATATTACATGTAGCTAGGATCAGCTAGGATCAAGAAAAAATGAGAGTTTCACAAGGGCCAGATTTTAATAGTGTAATTTGTTTGGAAAGTTCAAGAGGTGGCCCACCATATCTTCCTTTTGCAAAAGCTTCAGCAGCCTGAACTTCCTTAGCTAAACAGGACCTGCACTTTGAGGTGAGCAGAGACAAAGCAACTTGTGAAAAACTGGAAACAGGAAAAGTGATAAATGATTATGGTAAATGCTGAAAGATTTATGAGTGACAAAAAGAAGACAAACAAGACTGAGAGCCAGATATAAAGTTAGCAAGTTATCCATAAAGGAACGTTACCTTCTATTAGGTGATTTTAAAAACTATTTTCTTAGCAGATGTGCACTGTTATTTCTGTTGCCTTCTTGATATCCAAGTGGAAGATAAGACCATCTCAAAACAGGTTGTGAAACCTCTTTTTTGCTTTTCACAACCTATAATTCACGATCAGAAGAAATTTTCAAAGCTTTTCACTCTCCAAAGGAGCACAATTTTTCAAAAAAACATACAAGTAAAGACCATGGAGTGGAGCCGGTGGGGACAGTGTTGCAGTTAGAACAAGAGGCTCAATTGGAGCATTATTAGAATATTCTAATGGTATTCAGTTAGAGTATGATCAAATGCGTTTTTAAATTCTTCAAAGCTGAAGTTCACTAGCAAGCTAAATGATGAACATAAAAGTAGAAACTGGTAAGCATTATGTAAACGAATTCCATGTCTGCTTTCTTTAAGGTAACAAGATTTTACTAGATTGTCAGCCTCTTCCTTATCCACAGGAAACAGATGAGGATCATTCCTTTCCTGCATCTAGAAACTGATGACAACACCATCTCACTATCAATGCCAGATGGCAACCCTCTCACTCTGAGAAAACAACCAAACACCATTCCTGGATCCCTGCCCACTGCAACAAAGCGTCGCCGTACAAGTTGAAAACCGCACGATTTTGCATCCTCATTTATATGACTCTATAACCCAACATGTTTCCAGCATAAGAAAGGGTCTGATGGATGTGGATGTGATTTCTACTTAAAGTGAATACACCAGGAATATATGCAGATAAACTCAACTCACCACTCAACATACAAAAAACATTTTTTTAACTAAAAGCAAAAAAACTCAATAATGATCTAGTTTTCCCCTTAAAAAAGTGTTGCCACCTAATGCTAATATACCTGAAACAAATCAAGGTTTCAAATATTTACCCTAACTGGAAAAAAAAAAAAAAAAAAGGCTATCTATTAAATGTGCTCAACATTCTAGGTAAAATCTACCACATTTCACATTTATCTTTTAGGCTTAAATCCTGCTATTTCGTTTTTTAAAATATTTTCAAATACACCTTCTCATTTATAGATTTGGGGAAACACTGAATCAGAATTTGTAATGCATCTAGCCTAAAATGATGTAACTATTGAGCCTGAAAATTGAGCAAGTGAATTTATTATTAAATTGCAGATTGTGTCCAGATATGATATATTTTTATACAAATACATAAGGAATTATAGAGCAATGGACCATTATACAAATTATGCAATCCCTAACACCATGCTTAAATCAGCTTCTTGTCTGTGGTCCATGCCTGACTATATCTATTATATAACTGTTCTCCTAAGCTTGTAAATTTCAATGACATGTCAAGTGAACTGAAGGTTAGGATCAAGGTTTTAACCAGGATTCAAGAGAGCTAGAAACCTTTTCCTTCTTCTCTCCAGTCCCCATTACATGTCTTTGTAAAGGAAATTACACAAAACCCTCTGTAGAAGCCATAAGGCTTGGGGATCGAGCGGAAGAAAAGAGTTTGAGCAAGGAATGATATTTTTAGAAAAATAAAGTTTCCCTGAAAGGCTGATTTCTGTTTTAAAATATAAAATGTAAAACTCTCATTTGCCAGCACTGTAAATGGATCGTATTCTCCCAAGAACACACAGGGACTCACTACTCCCAGCGGGTTGGTCCACGCTCTTCAGGTATCAGACTCCTCCAAGACTTTTGTGGTGATGGTCTCCCTGCCAACATACTCTGAGGTCTACCTAAGTCTTAGAGAGTTATCCATCCCCATTAACTTAGGCTTTTTGGCAGCCACAGCGCAAACTATGCTTAAATGGTGAATATAGGTTTAAACGATGTCAATTTCTTTTTACACGTGGAAGAAACTGTAGAGGATTCTTTCAACTCAGGTTCCTGAATCAACTTTAACTTTTTTTCCCCTCGGCACGAAGTGCTACTTGCAGGGACTGTCTTTCTGTGTGATAGCAAGTTTTCTGCATTTCAATGTGAACTACTTAACATGTCCATGTTAAATTCTAATTTTTGAAAGCAGTCACTTCACTTGAGCTGACTCTCCGAGAGCTGTAGCTCTTACTGCCGAAAAAGCTTTGCTGGAAACCAGCTCCGTGGCCTAAAAAGTCTATTTAAAGATGCAAATGTGTGTGCATGGTTAGTGCAGATGTTTTTCTACAGCAACTGTACTTGCTGAGTTTCAGCATTTCCATAAAGCACATTAAAACAAGTGTGTGAACACTCCGAGATGAAAGTCGCCAACACTCCTGAGACTTTCAGTGGAAAGTAGAGCCGCCTGACTTTTCTCCAAGCAGACAGGAATGCCCATGATTCAGCAGCCTGAGTAAATAAAAGAGGTCCTTATTTCCTAATTTCGCTGGCTGGCCACACTGCAGCAGCCTCTGTGTTTCTGCCAAAGGGGATGCAGAACTGGAACTACACCCAGCCGCTGAAGGCCTGTCTTTGTTAGCCAGCCAGGCTTTCCGGACCATCTTCTGGCAGCAGAACGGCCATATCCTGCAAGGAAGACCTCCATCTCAGGCTCGGCGCTTCTCTAGTCTGCCTAAAAGGACGAAACAACAGATTTTGCTGGGTCTGTGTTGGAGGAGGACAGCTGGAAACTCAGTTAGCAGCAGAGTTAACACCTGTTCAGGCATATTTATGGGGGAAAGTGCTCACTAACAGAAAAGTGAAGTCATACTAGAAGGAGTTATTCCATAGAAAAAAGGCACCAGAACACAGAGTACCTTTGTGACGTGAGCCATCAGCCCCTCATGTGGGCCAACCTGGGGAGGAGGAAGCAGAGACTGGACGTGATTTGATCCCAGCCCCTGCTGATGGACAGACAAGCACACAAATGAGGGTCTGACAGTCTCAGTTTACGGCCTGCCATTGTGGAAGAGAAATGCTGAGGGTTCTGGCCACTCGCTGGTGTTCAAGACTAATCAAATTAGCCAGAAATTAAAAAATAAGATCAAAGAGACAGGAAGAGAATATGTGCAGGAGGGTTAGACTAATGTCAATGCTTACTTTGTTTATGATTAAGCAGGTCTTAATTTGTGTAGGACATACACTTCCTGAGGACAGGGACCAAGCCTTTCAGAAGATTGATTCCAACACTAGGGGCAATCTGAAATTATTCAAGAGAAACTAATGTAAGAAAGCAGATGAAAATACTTTCTCTGAAGTTATGGAAACTTCTGATAATGTTCTTCATAAGGCCTGGTCTGCAAGAAATTGCCTTAACAATATCCTTTTGCTACCTGAGCTTGTTCATTGCAAGAGCAGAGTACCCTCTTAACTGCCCATCGGGGACTCAGTATCATGTGTGCTAGTGCCACACAGCAAGATTTCCTTAACAGGGACAGGATTGATATCAATGGTTACTTTTCAAGTGAGGAGAAGAAGTACAAATACTGATGGGTCTGGTACTTGTGTAGGAACTAAAAGTCAAGAGTCTGGAGTTTTATTTCTAGCTTCATAACTGACTTAGAGAGTGACCTGGCCAAGTCATTTAATCTGCCCCTACCTAGGTATTTCACCTGCAATATGAAGATAATAATTCTTGCTACTTACCCTCTGGGGTGTTACAAAGATTAGTGAATGTTTCTAGGGCACCTTATCATGGCTGGAAGAAAAGCTGCATATGTATACAAAAAGATTTATATGTGCTGCATGTATTTCTGTTTCCATGTGTAAGCTTCTATGAGTATAGTATAAACATATTTTAATATTTTCTTTCCTTCAGTGCAATCTCTGGAATATTAGTTTTAAGGACTGACTCAATGGCAATCTACAGTGCCTTTAGCGTTCACAGTTGTATATGCAGCTAGCAAGAAAATAAAAGATAATCAGTTGGTGATATCTAAATGTTAATGGACCATAAATCCATGCTTACTATGTTCCAAGCCTTAAATTATCAAACACGGGATATAATATTGGGTCTTTACAGGCAAGTAACCTT